CTCCACAAGAGCCCTGAGATCCTCAAGGGGTGGAGGGGAGACGATGGGCCCTGACAAGAGTGAGACTGTGGCAGGATGGTGGAGCAGGCAAGCGGGTGGTCCCAGGCCAAGGTGGGTGTGAAGGGAGGCCCTGGCCGGCAGCCAGCAGCCTCTAGAGACCCTCTCTGTGCACGAATTTCATGCACTGGGCCTCTAGCATCAGGCTGTCCTGCCTTGCAGGCCCCTCCATGCTACTGGGCACACACAGCTATCCATGCAGCCATCTGTTTTGTTCTGTACATGTCTGCAAGTGGGTGAGGGATGGCTTTTGAGGGCCGTAATATGTGCCATCCTTTCTGAAAAACCTGCTAGCCGTGTCTTGGGCTGGGTTCCCCAGAGGCAGGCAGGGGTTCCTTCCAGACGAGGATTCCTGTGAAATTCATTTATCAGAAAGTGTTCCCGGAAAAGATAGGTGTGTGAAGGGGCTTAGACCGGGAAGGGGGTCAGGTAAGTGTGTGAGACCAAGGTCCTATAGAAGGTGACTCTGGCTCAATCTCACAGGGTAGCACCTGTAAAGGGAACTGCCACCCTGCTGCTCAGGTGTTGGTCCAGGGTAGCCCCGGAAGATGTAAACTGGTGGTGCTTTTGTTTTTAGTTCATATCTGTAGGCAAGGTGGGCTCCAGGGGCTCAACGGTGTCTGCCCATAAGGGGACGTTGGTGCTGTCTGCCAGGAGCGTAAGCAGCTGGGATAGATTTACAAGTTGGGTTCTGACAGTCTGCTCAACTGTGTCATTTTGTACAGGTTTCCTAGCTTTTCCAAGCCTTGGCTAACCCTTCTATGGCTTGGCACATTCTACTTCTACATTTTCTTTCAAGACTCTACATTGCTCGAAGTTCCTTATTTGTGCTGTGGCCAAATTTCTCTTCGTTACTTCTACCTCCTACTCCTGGTCTGCCCTCTGTGGCCACGAGATCACTGTCCACTTCTGAAAGTTTAAACTAGTGATCTTTTAACCCCAGGCGTCCTTTTCTCTTAGCCCAAAATCTCCAGCCCCTTCACCCGCTCCCCATGGGAGAAAGCATTTTCGGTCCCTATCCACCTCTGGCTGGCCTCTCTGGGCATTCCCTGGTTTATTCACGAGCCTCTTAAAACGTGGCATCCAGACAGAAAATTGGGGCTGCAGTTGGAAATATTCTGATCTGAATATCCAATCAAATGCTGTTTGCAAAAATGTGTTGGTTATCGAGTCATCAGCTTCAGTGACCCGCTGTTAATAACACCCTCTTGTGGGGATATTCTTGTTAAGGTGACCAGTCATGTGACATGGGGCAGAGGCCACTACCTTTTCCTGTCTAAGTCTTTGACCTCTGATCTTTTGGGGCTAGTGGGCTTCCTCATTTTTTTGGGGGGAAATGTTGACAGCACACCCATACCAAGTCATTACTGAGAATAGCGAATTCAGGATATAGCAGAAATTACTAACAATCCTCTGTCTCACTTTTGAGTGCATCAGAACCACCAGGAGGGCTGCTCAGTTTCTGAAGAGATAGGTTTGAAGTGGGGCCAAGAACTTAAAGTTCCTAAGAGATTCCCAGATGATACTGCAAGGGACCACTGAGGACCACTGCTCTATTACATTTCCTGGATGCTTGGTGTTATGAGTGTTCAGAAGGTTTTAGCCAAAGTAGGTAGAAGAAGGAAAAAGACATCTGTTTTGTGTACCTGTGCCAAGAGCAGTCATGTATATATAATCTAAGTTTAATAGCGGTATGGATGTAGAGTCAGTATCCTCCTTGTAAAAATAATAAAATGACACCCAGGATTTAAGTCACTTAAAGTCACATGAGGCAGATCTGAAATTGGAGCCCAGGTCTGTCTGACCCCAAAGCCTAGATGACCTTTCTTACTCGCCACACTGCTCTTTAAGCCATCGCCTATGCCAGAATGTCAAAATCACTCATGATTAAAACACACACACACGCGCACACACACACACACACACTCGCCTTGAAACCCTTTTGCTTGAATTGTATGTCATAAACATACATTTCACATACATGCAAAAAAAAGGTTTTGGAAGAGGGTAAATATAACATGAAATTTGTTTTCTAATGTATATGTTATTGTTTGTAATAATATTTCACAGCCTTACCAGGATGTGTCTTCCACCCCAGCTGTGCAAAGGGAAGAAAGAGAACCAGAGAAGGAAGTACATGTCCCAATCAAGTTCCTCTTACTAACCCCTTACTCCTCTCACCCATGTTGCCTTTTCCTATTTCGGTTCAATTCAACGTTAGTCATGCCAAAGACCATGAGAGGGACTGGAGATACAAAGGCCAAGAAACAACCCCTGCCCTCAAGGGCTTGATAGTCTAAAGGGGGAGGGCAACTCCTAAAGATCATTTTCAACCTAATGATCAGATCCTGTGACATGTGCACATCACCACGTGTTCAGGTTGGATTGCACGGTCTGCTTCTAGAAGGCCCAACTTAACACACACACACACACACACACACACACACACACACACCTACCACAACAACTGAAAAATCACACACTGAAATGTTATTTAACATATTTATGTTGCACAGAAATTAAAGAATTTATACTTTCCATAAACATTACTCAAAGGTTAGGAATGTTCTTGGATGAATTTAAATTTTCTAAACAAGACTATGTAAACACATCCAATATGAGAATTTCTCCCCTTAACACAGTTCATCATATCATCACATCCCAATTTTGTGTTCCTTGCTGACCCAACATGCCAAAATGGCATGTTGGGTCAGCAAGGAACACAAAATTGGGATGTAAAATTGGATTGTTGATGGCGAGAGTTTAAAGTCTTCCCCCAGCATTTCATTCTCAAATGTGACATTTTGGATTTAACTGAATGCATGCCGATGGGCAGGTCTGCTCCAATTTGGGTTAAAAATACGCTGTTTAAATATTGATAGCTGTATCTAAACTCTATCACTCTGAAATTCGGCTTAAATAAATCGTGCTGCACTATTTTTATCATACACGAGATCACATAATGTGGTGGGCAGGGAGCAATGGATACAGGTCCAGACTTCGGAACTCAATATCCAAGTCACCCCGACAAACTGTCCTCCCTCTGGGGCTCATTTGTCACATTTATTTAGAAAGAAAAACAAGAAATTGTGGCATAAAGGGAGAGGGTTTGGCTAAAGGATCTCAAAGATTCTTTCTAGCAAATTTCTATTAGGTTGAGGAAAGGCCATTTAATTTCACCATTTAGATAGGTCTGTGCACAGTGAATCATATTGGTATTTTATTTTTGAAATACAACTTTTAGTACTTAAAAAGGAAAAATCAACCATAAACCTATCTGAGCGCTAACATTAGTAATCGGAGCACTTTTAGCCTCTGGAATTTGAAGCAAGCCCTTAACCGGAGCCCCCAACTTGCATTTTATAATTTGGATATTTTTAAGTCACAAAGTAGTTCCATATTTGACAAGGAAGCAAAATGCTTCTACTAATATCTTTATGCACTTCCAGGATTATTTCTTTTTAAAAAAAATATATTTTATTGATTTTTTTATAGAGAGGAGGAGAGAGGGATAGAGAGCTAGAAACATCGATGAGAGAGAAACATCAACCAGCTGCCTCTTGCACACCCCCTACCAGGGATGTGCCCGCAACCAAGGTACATGCCCTTGACCGGAATCGAACCTGGGACCTTTCAGTCCGCAGACCGATGCTCTACCACTGAGCCAAACCGGTTTCGGCTAGGATTATTTCTAATTAGAGACCTTGTAAGTACTAATGCGTATCAGGTAAATAGTGATAACATTTTATCCATCCTTGTGTTGTTTTTTCCCTATGAAACAGAACCCCAGCTGTTAGAAACGCAAGTTAATACCCTCAAAAGGTTCCCAGATGGCCGGAGGGGTTGCATTACAAAATAGAAAAATTCATTCGAGATGAAATAAAAACACAGAGTAGCCTCCACACCAGCCAAGGAAAGTGATAGCGATTATTTACGTATTTAAGAGCAGAATGAAGGAGACGGGAGAAATGTTTTCCTAATGTCTCAAGGTTGGGGTGGTCTTAGCCATCCCTTCTCTGCTGGGTGCATCTTATAAAAATCACTTCATGGAGGAGGGGGCGGGGGCTAGGAAACTCCAGCCTCTCCGGAGCTTAGCAGCGTTCCTGTCCATCATCTCATCATGGCCTTGAAGATGGAACAGGCGGCAGTAATTAGACCAGAGCCTGGAAAACCAAGGAGAGAAGCTGATTTATTCAGGAATCGTTTTCTTAAAGCGAGTGGTCATTCGAAGGCAGACAACTCAAGTCAGCTATAATTTCCTTGTCCACTCTGTCAAGGGATGGGTCGGGCAGGGTCCGAGAAAAGGAAGCATGGAGGGAAGCCGGGATGGGAGCAAATCCCATGCAAAATGTGAGACCAGCAGGAAAAGCATTGAGCCTTGCAAACTGAGTGCAGGTGAGGGGCAAGCTGAGTGCAGGTGAGGGTTACCTAGCGCCGCCAGCTGGGAGCTCAGATTCCTCCGGGCGGGGTTCCCGCCAGCGGCTCCTCTGAGCACCCTGGGCTCCAGGGTGTCAACTCGCAAAATCGCCTCTTAATCCTCGCTCTTGCCGGATGAAAGCACAAACTTGGGAGCCAGAGGCTTCCTTCCCGGACACCGCGGGGTGGACGCTCCTCCAGCCCAGCGGGCCGCCCCTCCCCATAGGGACCCTGGATGGCCTGAGCCTCTCCCGTGAGAGCTTCTCCTATACCCCCAGCCGAGATCCAGGGACCCCTGGAGATCAGAGGCTCTGGGAGCAGCGGGGGAGAGGTCCCGGGGAAGAGGTCCTGGGCCCGGCCGCTTCCTCCCGGATCCCCGGCTCTCTCGGTCCGCGGCCAGCAGCCCGGGCGCGGGGCGGGGGGCGGGGGAGGCCGCGGCCGCGCTATTCTTGTCGTGATGAGCTACCGGCCTGTTATGAGCAGCACCCAATCACGCCTCCGACTGGCCGCGCTGACCCGCACCCCCCTCCTCCCTAATCCCCTAGGCTTTGATTTGATCCTCTGCGCGGAACAGGCTCCCCACCACCCCCTGCCCCCGCCCCATAGCCAGTTGTCCCCTGCCCTCTCAGATGCCCGCAGAACCGGTCCTCTTCATCCGCCCTCGGGAGGTCAGAGCCCTCGTCTCGTACTCCCGGACGCCCCGAGGCGGGCAACATCCGCGCATCGGAGCCGTCGGAGGTCCGGTACCCCCGGGAGCAGGTCCGCTCGCAGCAAGGCCCTTCCAGGTGATGGTGCGCGGCAGCTGCGGCCCCCGGCGCGCAGGTGTGGGCTCCCCAACCCGGGCCGGCGTGGGGGCTTTGGGCAATGCCCTGGCAGCCTGGGAAGCCGCGCAAGCCGACCCCTGCACCTCCGGGAACCCTCCGCGCCCCCCACCACTAGGGGCTTCTGGAAGCCGGTCTGGACCCAATTGGCTCTGAGAGGGATCGGGGAAGATCTACGAATCTGGATGAAGGATTTAAGGATTTAAGCTGAGCAGGACAAACTTGGGCCCCTGAGGCTCGCTGGTGGGGCCCCAGGATGCCCCAGCCCCCACCCCGGGCACCATGAGCTACTTCCTGTCTTACTGCAAAGCGCATGGCGGCGCGCTGCTCACCGGCTACCAGGCCCTGCGCGCCGAGGGCTTCTTGTGCGACGTGACCTTGGAGGCCCAGGGCAGCGAGTTCCCGGTGCACCGGTCCCTGCTGGCCTGCTCCAGCGACTACTTCAGGGCCCTGTTCAAGAGTCACACGCGGGAGTCCCAGGCGCGCGTGATCCACCTGCACGTGCCCTCGGCGGCCGCCCTGCAGCGCCTGCTGGACTTCATCTACACTGCCTGGCTGCCGCTCTCCCTGGACACCGTGGAGGACACGCTGGAGGCCGCCAGCTACCTGCAGGTCCCCGGGGCCCTGGCGCTGTGCGGCCGCTACCTGGAGCGCCTGCTGGCGCCGGACAACTGCTGCTTCGCGGCCAACGTGGCCGCGCGCTTCGGCCTGGCGTCCACCCTGGCCGCGGCCGAGCGCTACATCGCGCGCTACCTGCGCCAGCTGCTGGCCCGGGGCGCAGGCCCCACGGGGCTGCTGGAGCTCAACCCCGGGTCCCTGAGGGCCGTGCTGGGGGCCCCTGACCTGGCGCGGGTGCCCGAGGCCCGGCTGCTGGGCCTGGCGCTGGCCTGGCTGCGCCAGGAGCCCGCGGCCGAGCGCCAGGCCCACTGTGCCGCGCTGCTGGAGCGCGTCCGCTTCGGCCTGGTCCCCGCAGACGCGCTGCGGCCCCTGTACTCGGGCTCTGGCCTGGCACTGCCCACCCGGGTCAAAGGCCTCATCATCCAGGCGCTCACGTACCATTCCACGCCCTCCCGCCAGCCGCTGCTGCAGGGCGAGCAGACCAGCGTGCGGAGTCCGCAGACCCGCATCCTCCTGGTCGGGGGGCGCCGGGCGCGGGAGGCGGTGACCGAAGAGGTCATGGTCATGGTCATGGTCCCCCGAGGGGCGGCCAGGGGTAGGGCAGCCGCAGTGGAACCAGAGGAGGAGGAGGAAGAGCAGGCGGAGGAGGCAGAGGAGGAGGAGTGGGAGCTCACCCAGGATGTGGTGGCCTTCGACGTGTACAACCACCGCTGGCACAGCCTCACGCGGCTCCCCGCGCCGCTTGTGGGGCACAGCGTGTGCACGATCGGCAACTTCCTGTTCGTCCTGGGCGGGGAGAGCCCTTCCGGTGGAGGGGCCTCCTCCCCGAAGGCCGACGGCCCGCGGGAGGTCACGGCCCTCGTGCACCGTTATGACCCGCGCTTCCACACTTGGACAGCGGTGCCCGCGATGCGGGAGGCGCGGGCACATTTCTGGTGCGGCGCGGCGGGCGGGGGGCTGCTGGCCGTCGGGGGTCTGGGCGCGGGCGGCGAGGCGTTGGCCTCGGTGGAGATGTACGACCTGCGCCGGGACCGCTGGACCCAGGCCGCGGCGCTGCCGCGGGCCCTGCACGGCCACGCGGGGGTCGTGGGGGACCTCGGGATCGTGTACATCTCCGGGGGCAAGGCGGGGAGGGGCGAGGGCGGCGCGAGCAGCTTGAGGGACGTGTACTCCCTGGGCCCCGGGAACCGGGCCTGGAGCAAGAGGGCGCCCATGGGCACGGCCCGCTTCGGGCATCATATGGCCGCGCTCCGGGGCGCCGTGTTCGCCTTCCTGGGGCACTACGAGCCCTTCTCGGAGATCGAGCGTTACGACCCCGGCGCCGATCAGTGGACTCGGCTGCGGCCGCTGCCCTATGATCGCTTCTGCTACGGGCTGGCGGTGGTGGAGGAGACGGCGCTGCTGCTGGGCGGCGTCAAGTGGCGGGACTCGCGCCAGGTGCCCACCCGCAACGTGGTGGGCTATGACCTCGACCTTGACCGCTGGGAGGACATCGACTGCGCGCTGCCCTGGGCCTGGAGCGGCCTGCAGTGCGCGGTGCTGCAGCTCCCTGAGGGTGCTGATGATGAGACAGAGGGAGAGGCTGGAGATGCTCCAGATTTAGTGTCAGGCTTAAGGGGTTAGTGCCATCTCAGATCCAAGGAGGAGGAGGTTGTGTCGGAGCAGGTTTACTGAGCCACGAGTGGGCTTTTCCTAAGGATGGGACTCTGGACACTGAGTGGCATCTGAAGGTTCAGGAGGCAAAAGGGGGTTTGGCCAAAGAGGAGCAGTTCCCTTTAAGCTGAGAAGGGGAGACAGGAGACGTCATAATGAAGGGCATGTGAACCAGCTTCAGGGAGCTAGTGATTTCTCGAAATTCTCATGATGCTGGGCCAGGGATGGGCTTTCCGAACTAAAATATGATCCTATTTGTCTTCTCTTAGTTAAGGGTTTTCCTGGGTGCTAACTAGTGATTACATTTGTGCCTAACAGATTGCCAAAAAAGGGGACTATAAGAAGACCCAGAAAATAATTATAAAGGCTGTAATAGTCCAAGAAAATGGCATTATCTGAATGAACAGTGAAGGGAAAGTGCCTTGGTTAAATAGGGAGAAATATGATTTTATGGTCTAGAACCCTGGTTCTGCTCTAGTTTCATATAAACATGGAACTGAGAGGGGAAAATGATCTCTAAGAAAGCACCTTTTATTTTATTTTTTATAGAAACAACCTGGCTTACTTGTTTTCTGTCCTTCATCCTTACTTACCCCTTGCCTGCCTTTGTGCTGAATTTAGGCAGTTCATTGCTTTTAAGTTTTATTTCAGCAACACTTAGCCATAATAATCAGACTCCTTGGTTAAGTGGAACATCTAACAAAAACGAAACTTTTATTTCTTTCATCCTTTTTAAATATATATTTTATTGATTTTTCACAGAGAGGAAGAGAGAGGGATAGAGAGTCAGAAACACTGATGAGAGAGAATCATCAATCAGTTGCCTCTTGCACACCCCCTACTGGGGATGTGCCCGCAACCAAGGTACATGCCCTTGACCGGAATCGAACCTGGGACCCTTCATCCCCAGGCCGATGCTCTATCCACTGAGCCAAACCAGTTTTGGCTCTTTCATCCTTTTTAAATGTTCATTCTGAAGACATGCTGTAGGTTATGTTTTAAAAATACAATTTATTTTTGTGCCCCCTCGCCCCACCTAATTTCCCCAAAGACTCACAGAGAAAGAAAGAGGAGTAGGTGACATGTCCCAGTTTGCATCAAGGAAACGGGAAACCAGCTTGATTCTACAGGGGTTCAGAGAAGATGCTTGCATATGGAACAGATACTTCTGGCTTGTACCACCGGTGAAGTGGCAAAGTCAGAACTCATAACTGGGGATGGGGGAGAAGAAGTTGGGGGAAGGAAGGGCTGGTGGCTGTATGATTGCAAGACAAAGAAATATGGCGAGGACTCTGAATAAAGCAGGTGCCTTATAAGGATTCAGTAAGAGCTGAATTTATTTGACTTCAGTTTACAGCGCTGCCTCTCTCCTAGATTTGAAACTAATGCAATAAAATGTACAGAGATATAGTGTTAAAAGGTCTCTTTCATGCTAGGCTAGCCACAAGTCTTTGAAAATTCATTAGTTGAATTTTACCATGGAAAACAACACAGCTGACTTTACATAAGGAAAAGCTGCTTTGTAGCAACACAGCTAGTCTTTCCATCAACTGCTTGCTGTCTACAGGGCACACCATGGCCCCTGTATTTGTGACACATCCATCAGGTACAGATATTTTTAAGCGAATGTACACATTTAGTCTAGTAAACATCAACAAGTCTAAATACCTGTAACAAGCACACTTCATTTTAGGACAAGAGGTTTTTTTGTTTGTTTGTTTTACATATACAAAATCCCACAAATGTGTGTCAATATCCATGCAGTAAATAAATGTTTTTACAAAGAGGTTTTTTAAATGATAAAAATATTACACTGGACCCAAAATTCCATACAAACATGAATACGTGATTTCTCATCCATTTTGACTAAATATAGATAGGATTACTGAAAATGTGCTGAAGAAAGGCCACTTTCCTGTACAGTTGTGCAAAGTCTGCAAAACGATAGTGATTCCATGGTGGTTTCAAAAGCAAAGAAAAACGATCCCCGCTGTGGAGTTGTTTTTTTTTTTTTTTTTTTTTTTTTTTTTTAACTTTTTCCTCGACAGCAAAAAAAATAAAAAAATAAAAAAAAATATTCACTGGCATATATCTGAACTCTTAGAGATGAAAGTACATTCACTGAGCTGGACAGGCAACAGTAGAAAGCTGATTAGAAGTAGAGTTTAGGATATAGAAAAGGAGGTTTCCTTTCTCCTCCCGAAAAAACAGCAAATTGGGACTTGTACGTTATGCAGCCAGACACTAAAAAGCAGCACAGTCACTGTCATGCTGGGATCACTTTTAAAAAACGAGATGCTCAGTAAGTGGAAATATATGAGGAGGACGTTTTCATAGACTTCATCCACTTTATAGAACAATTCACGAAGCCAGGAGAAAGCTCTAGAAATTGTTTCTCTCATATAATGCAAGGTAAAAGAACTCTGAATGGCCATCATCCTCTTGCTCCTCGGGAGAGAGGTACAGTTTTATTTTGCAATATTGTTTTCTATATTATAACACACATCCACCTGTAATTACACATATTTTATTTCCCTGCCTGAAGTAGAACTCCATAAGTTTCATCAGTGGGCTAGTGGGAAAATTGGAAATGAACTGGATAGTTGGTTAATTTCCGTTTAGACCTTGTAGTTTTTTTTTTGTTTTTTTTTTGTTTTTTGTTTTTTAAGAGTTGCAGTTTAAAAGCACGAGTTTGGGCCGAGATTTTGTATATATACCTGTTAGCTGCCTTTCTGGGTGAGTTAAGTGTGTTTTAAAAAATCCACTCTCAAATTCCTCTGTACACAATCAGCATATCATCACTACAAAAATAAAGGAAGATTTAAACCAAGAAAATAAAGCAGCTCTATCTTCAATTTTGGTCTTTGTTACAAAAACATCTTACAAAGCTTTGCCCTGATACACCGTTAAGTGTCCCCATAGATTTGGAATAGTATCCCCATTAACCAGCTTTCACAAGTTAATAGACTATTAAGACGAATATTAGATACCTGAACTTTTCTTATGTTGATGCTCTTCTTGTTTGCTTTAACTCTTTTAGGCGCGTCTACATTTCACAAAAATAAAACTACAGCTTACTTTGTGCAATGTTTAAGAAAATCCTCAGAACATTTTAATAAATATAAAAAAGGTTTAAATTCTTTCCCACCCACAAGGATGTCTGCACCTGAAAAAATGTGGATTCACTTTTGAAGTCTTATTTATATAAAATTAACTGAAAGGGAGAAAAGATGACCTTAAGATAGAAAACCGCCATTTTGTATTTTTCTACTTGAACGCCATCTGTCTTCAGGATAGTCTGCAAAAGTTCATTTTAAACCATTGAAGACAGTTGTTTTTGCACATGGTAAACATAAGCTGAGCACTAATTGCATATAAAATATACAAATGCTCATTAAAGACAATGGTATTATGACCATATATGGTATGTTTCAAATAGTTTGGAAACACTGAAGTATAGCTTGTCAAGTGTCCCACACACTGACAGAAAAACTACCTTATATACTTGTTCCAAGTACCCGAAGGTACCAGATGGACTGAGGACAGAATACACTTACACATGCGTTTCAATGTAGGAATGAGTGTGTGTGAGAGAGGAAGTGATTATATCTACGTCAGAAGAAATACTTAATGGGTCATTTGAGGTGGTGTTTTGACAGATATCCAAGAAAAGATCGAGGTACATCTGCTTCCACTGTTGGAATTCTTTAGATGTCAAGTCTGGATTGTCTAGGACTTTATCAATAATGGCCACTTCCCCTTCTCTGGCCTGAAAAGCAAAAGGATTCAAAAGTTAAGATGTGGACAAACTTATGTTCAAGTTTAAGATAACAAGTTAATAGGCAAAAAATTAAAAAGCCCATAAGAAATGGCTCTGGTATATCCACACTCAGTTATTTAGACTAAAATTCTAGTGTGCTTTTTTCTACCCCCAAAGGTATGTGCCCTGTATTGCCTATTCTCTGTGGTTTATTTTTCCTCATTTATCATCTGTACATATGGGAACCTTCCTCGTCATGTAAGGTCCAGTTCAAATGCCTCTCATTTCCTAAAGTCTTCCTTCAACAGTTGGAAAAAATGTTCCCTCCCTCATTGATTTTCCCATAACACTTTATCGCTGCCATTGAGTGGACTTACCACATTTTGTTTTGAATTAATTTGAAACTGTCCTTTCTCTCCTGCTAGGTGGTCAGTTCCTATGTGTTATGGGTCCAAGGAAGGAATTGGGAAATCTAGGGAATGTTCTGCAAGAAGGGGGAAAGCTCACTCTGGACTAGCCACAACCAAGCAGTTGTTCCGGTCCTTGGGGCCTGACAGAGACAGGAGGGCTCTGACCAAGGATGTTCTGTGTCCCCCTGTGCTTGGTGAGGGGCCTGTTACAATTGCAGGAACCACATACCCAGGGTTGCTTGGGCAGTTGTCTTTCTCAAATGGGAAATTTCCATTTCCTGTGCATTTCCCTGCACTGAAAAGTGTAGGGCTCTGTAGTTTGTTTTTTTAACCAATAAGGGGCATTCTTTTCTTTTATAAAAATTAAATTTATTGGAGTGACATTGGTTAATAAGATCATGGGGACAAGTGGAGAGATCAACCAAAGGACTTGTATGCATGCATATGAGCCTAACCAGTGGTCACGGACAACAGGGGGATGGGGGCATGCATGGGGAGGGGTTTGGGATGGGAATGGGGGAATAAGGACAAATATGTGATACCTTAATCAAGAAAGAAATTAAAAAAATTAAAAAAGATCATACAGGTTTCATGTGTGCAATTCTACGACACATCATCTGTATATTGCCTTGTGTGCCCACCACCCCAAGTCAAGTCATCTTCAGAGGGGCATTTCCATACAGTGTTTTTTTTTTGTTTTTTTAAAATCATATTTCTTTGCCTCCAGAGAGCAGAGCACAGCATCACATAGCTGGTGACTCATCAATACTCACTGAATGGAAAATACTCTTTTTTTGGTGGGAGGGGATCTACAGAGCGTCAAAGATAGGGGTGAGAGGCTGAGAGGAAGAGGGACAGAAGCAAGTCTCTAAAGTATGTGAGTCTGACCTGCTTCCAAGTGCCTGCCAGCTGTTCTGACCAGGCAGTTTAGATATGAATGTACGGTGAGGGGTAGAGGGTGGGTCTGGAAGGTGAAAAGGTAAAGATATCTTTGGAGTAGGATTGGTCACCAGAATTATTCTTACAAATATTATAGCTCTTTTTAAAAAACCTATAACAACAACAACAACAACAACAACAACAAACTTAAAAAATTGGTCATGAGGTTGTCCCACGGATTTGTGATAGCATTTGCATGAATACCAATTGAAAGCTAATTGACTGAGAACTTGACTGCCTGCTACAGGAAATGTTTTCAAATAATGCATTTTCTATTTTATCTTTTTGTTACTCATCTACATTTCAAAATCACAAAACCTCAGCAACATACTATTTATCTGAAATATTCCCCAAAAAAGCCCTTTTGTCTGTAGGATAGTTCTCTAAACACCCCCCCCCCCCCCCCCCCCCCGCTGAGAATGTTCATTTTTTTGCCTCCTTGGACTTCCTGCCTCTCTGCTCCCCTCTCCTCCGCACCTCCTCCCCAACTGGTGGGTGGCATAATAATAAGCCCAGAGACAATGTAAGAACTTGTGGAAATGTATACTAGGAAAATAACATGGGAATTGGGAACTGATAGTGTAAAGAGAACAATTATAGAATCTCTACAGAGAGCATGAATC